CAATCCTTGCCCCAGAAGCCCCTCCTCTTTTTGAGTTGTAGCCCTCAGTCATGGAACAAGCAGCAGGAAACCCCTCTGGGAAAGTGGTCAATATTGGATTAATTTCTGTGCATTACATGGAGAGGATTTAGGGCCAGAGACCATGCCAAAGAGGAGTGGTAGAAGGACCAGCCAACCGTGTTGCTGAGTACAACTTCAGCATAGCCATGCTGCAAATGACACGTGGAGATGATCCAGTCAGTGAAACCAAAGTGCTCTGAGCTCTGCTGGGGTCAGAGTTCATGGACATGAGCTACAGTAGCATTTGGGCTTTCCAAGACTGAAGAAAGGTCCAGCCCTGGGTACAGGGCATGATCTAACATAAAAAACATGTCAGGCTCATCCTTGACTCCACTAAGTAGGACCAGGCCTCTTTGTCTCCATATCTCAAAAAAGACTGTTTTTTGAGGTCCCTGGCCCTCTCCACTACCACTCAGAAGAGGTGGTTGTCTTCTTGCCTGAACCTTGACTTAGTCTTAAGCCCCAACCTGAGTCCCAGAAAAGCTGGAAACAGACCCAGCTCTGTGTCCACGCTTTCTAGGGGTCTCTTCCAGTCAGCACTCCCCAGAGCCACCCCAGCTGCCATCCCACATCCAACCTCCATGCTGAGCCAGATACATGGGATCAATACACAGGATTTGCTGACGCTCCCTCCTGTACAGAGCGGGGAATTTGTGTCGTTTAAGCCTTTTCTGCTCAACATTCACAGCTACAAAAACAGCAGGCAAACTCTAGACCTCCTGAAACTATGCACCAGGCACCTACCCTTCTCCACTGCTCCACCCAGATGCTTGTGGGATGGGAGCTGCACACATTCAGGATGGGTTCTCTTTGTGTAGGTGCTGCATTTGTATTTTGTGAGGTGAGGAGACACTCTTCAGGGAAAATTTCTATTTGTTTTTCAGTCTTGTTCTGAAGTCAGACAGGTTCCTCTGTTCCACCCCAGTGGGAGATCAGCCCAGTGAGCCCATCCCTGACCCTGAGAATGTCGCTCCAAGGCCGAGCACAGCATCTCCCCCAAAAGGGCTGATCCATGGGTAGGCATCTAATGACGGTTTGACTGGTGGAGCAAAGCACTACTCATGTTTGTTTGGATAGTCAAAGGACTTGGAACAAATGTCTCTGACTTGTGTTGATTTAGATAAAAGGACCCCATCCTTGTCACAGAATCAACAAGGCTGACGAGAAATCACTTGTGTAGACCTCCTCTGCTCTCAGATGCTTTTAAAACAGAAAAAAAAACCCCATGATAACAACAATAATAATTGTTCTTTAGGTTGGAAAAGACCTTTAAAACTACCAAATCCAACTGTTAACCCAGTGCTGCCAGTCCCACCACTAACCCACCACAACTAGATGGCTTTTAAATACCTCGAGGGACGGTGACTTAGCAACTGTCACGGGCAGCCTGATCCTTGAAGAAACTTTTCCTAATATTAATCTAATCAAAACAATAATAGAATTTTTTTTCCCACAACTTTGAGGCACTCAGTCCTTTGTGGATCAGGGCTCACTGGAGTGCCAAGAGCAAGATCAGGATTGCGTAGTTGGGATCACCTGTCATCTGGGTGACAAAACATTTGGGACATTTTGTTGTGTGATGCCTTCTGTTTTGCTCCCCATCCTGACCTGGCTGACAATTCCTGCCCTTACAGACCCAATATCTGTCTGGGAGGGAAAAGAAGGCTGGACATGGTGGTGCCTGGAGTGGAGAACTGGGGGGGACAGGGACTGCTACATCCACATCCATCTGGCATACTGAAGCAGGGAATGAAGGAAAAGGAAGGAGGGGGTGGGTTGAAAAGAAAATCCCAAAGATCCTCGGATAATAAGCACCATTAAGGTTAGTCTGTCTCATGATTGTTTCTTATTAAAAAGAGACTGTACTTTATCTGTGCAGGATATGCTGTTTGGATGAGGGAATTAGCAGAGTGACTGCCTCCATATCATCTAATTAGCAAAAATGTTGATAAGCAGATACAATCACATATGATTAGGATCCTTTTAAAAAGCCACTCCATTAATTAAATAGACAGAAAGGCTGCCTACAGCCCTCGCGTGCCACTGATTAGAATACAAATATTTACACTAATCTCACCTCCATCAGCCATGGGACACTTTTGAGTATTTTTAGTGACATCAGATTACTATTGATTTTCATCCCCAATGTCAGACCATTTTGTTAGTATCTGAAAGTGCTGCCTTCAGTTTCGGATGCTTTAAATCATGTTAAGGGTTTATCTTAATGACGCTGCTGATAACCACTGTTCAGGTCACTCGTACTTTCTCTTCAAAGAACACAGTCTGGGCCGGCTTTTATTGTTTGTACTTGAGATTTAAGATATGAAAAACATTTCTCATTTCAAAGCCTTGGTTTCTAGGGATGGGGCTGCCAGGCCAGTTTGGGTCCAGTTACTTGATGTGTGCATGTCTCATTTCCCTTTCTCCCTGCCTCTCCTTGACCCTTTCTTTTTTTCCTTGCAAACCCTTTTGGCTCACAGCAGTGGCCTGTCTTGAATGGCTGCTAATCACTGACGCCTGCTGCAGGCAGCAGACAGACGGGCAGTGAGTATCCTCCATTCGGGGACGACAGGAGAAAAACACTCCCTACTTTTCAGCTGGGTAGGATGCACTAAATCCAAGACAGATAACCCAGTGCGCCAGCCAGTCTGAGATGGGCTCTCAGCATCAAAAGCAAGTAGGGGAAGAGATGCTTTGCAAAGGCACAGCAAAAGGCAGTCACCTCCCTTCCGTGCACAGCCCCACCCTCAAAGTTGATAACTGACCCTCTCCAACAGACTTTTCTGATTCCCATTTTCCCTTCTGGGTAACAGAGAGTAGGAACAACAATCCTTCTTGAAATTTCTGCCAAGCAAGGACGGTGCTGGCAGTAGATAGGAGCTGTTGGTACCTTCTGGGGACTTGTGGGTAAGCTTGGATCACCCTCAAGTCCAACGGACAATCCTTAAAAAATCTAGTCCCTTTTGTGAAGATTTCAAGTGTGAGACTACAGTCTGAGTGAGCCATCAAGTCTTAGCTCTCCCCTTAATGTAGAAGACCTCTTCAGGGTGTTTTGGGAATGCAAAGAGCCCTCTGAGCTCAAATGGACAGCAGCAGCTTGCTGTTTGATCCAGTTTACTTTTGCCTTTTCCACAGAACAAACAACATCCAGCAGAAAAATAAACCATGTGGCACAACCACCCTGTAATTAAGAAGACTTTTGTGCCAAAGGAGGGAAAAGCTGAGATCTCTCTAGTGAGGCGAGCCCACAGGACCATGAGTTCATTTTCTCCTTTGCACTTCCTTCAGCTTCAGCCCCCAGACCTGCACTGCCCTGCAGCAACTTTTGCTGCCCAAATCTGACAAGCACCTCAGTGCTACTGCCCCATCACTGGCCAGTAAGAACACCAGCAGCACAGATACCTTTCCCAACATGTGTCAGCTCAGTTGCCTTCCTCCTTCTGTCTCCATTGCTGTCTCCAGGCTGACATGACTGCCCCTCGCTTTCTCAGCCTCCCCCACAGGTTGTGTGTTAGGACAGCAGCCAGCCCATACGCTGTGCACATGCTCCTTGGTCTGGCTGGCTCTTGACTTCTTCCCAAAGTGTGGGATAATGGAAAAGAGGGCAGTGATCTGCAACATATGCTGCTATTAGTAGGTGTTTATGACACTGTGTTACAGACAGATGAATTCTCATTATTGGCACTTCCTTGGAGACCTTCTTCATGCAGTGTTTCCCTCTGAGGATATTGTATTTCCCACTAGCATGGCAAATCCAAGGAATAAAAACAGACGCAGGATAACTCTAGATTTGATTGCCTGTGTCGAGTTCCTGGGCCATCCCTGTCGTATATACCTTGGGACTGGTATCCAAAAAGGCACATAGAAAAGAGGCTAAGGTTGGTATTTCTGGGAATTTAATTTACTACCAACATGAAAATGAGGTTCTTCTGAAAGTGTTAGGCTTGTCTATAAATTCAAAAAATATTATGATGTCCATCTAATCATGATTTTAGGAAAAAAAAGGGTTTAAAATTCAGGGTTTAAAAATGGCCACATGGGGAACTTCCAGTGATTTGCTACCTTCATAAAGAAGGATGTGAAATGTATTTTGAATTTAAATTTGGCTAATGATACCTTCCAACTGCTTTGTCTGGTTGCCTGAAGATCCCTGTGGCACTGAATTTCTGTTCCCATGCAGGTTCTTGCTGACTATGATGTAACTGGCATTGAACTTCCTCTTTCTCCATGTCTCTCACTCCAGAGTGTATTTTCCAATCCCTTAGTCACATTTTATGGCCTTTCCCTGGGCTTTCTCTGATTTATCAACACTCCTTCTGAACTATGGGTAGCCAGACTGCTGCTTCCCTATAGCTGCTGCCATAGGGAATTATGTCCCATGGGATAATATGAACTGACTACACCACACTTCCCTGGATTGCACACGAATCCACACTGAGTATCTGAGAATGCTTCTGTAGGGAAGGTTCAGGCAAAAAGTAACCTGACAAAGTCATGAGGGTGGTAAAACAGTGAAAGACATTGCCCAGGGAAGCTGTGGATGCCCCATCCCTGGAAGTGTTCAAGGCCAGTTTGGTTGGGGCATTAGGCAACCAGTTGTAGTGGAAGGAGTCCTTGCCCATGGCAACAGGCAGGGATTAGACGACCTTTAAAAAAGGCCACTTTCCACCCAAACCATTTTATGATTCTGTCAGTCCTACATCACAGCTGTGTGAGCACAGTTACATGCAGCAGCTACAACACCATGTGCATGATCTACATTTAGAAAGAGAAGGCCAGTGACAACCAATTCCACCCTAGAACATCGTCAGGACAACTGAGCCAGGATTGGCTGAACCCTCTCTGAGGTCACAATCTCATGGTTTGTGAGCAGCAGGCTTGAAAAGAATGTGTATGGTCAAACAGCTCTTAGTGGCCTTGCACTGCAGCAGGACAGAGCAGCTCATGGGGCGGACTGAACATCTCCCCATCCCTGAGGAGAGCTGTGTCACTGGGTGTCCAAGAGTCTCTGCATGCTGATCAACCTTGGTGCGAGAGACAAAACCAGACATCTTCTAAACAACTTCAGCTTTCCTCTGAGATGGTAGATTACTACAAGGTCCTTGAACTGCAAAAAGATGCCTCACAGGATGTTATTAAGAAATCCTACCACAAACTGGCACTAAAATGGCATCCTGACAAGAATCCCAAAAACAAAGAGGAAGCTGAGAAGAAATTCAAAGAAATTGTTGAAGCATACGAGATTTTGTCCGACCCTCAGAAGAGATCACTCTATGACAAGTCTGTTGAGGAGAGCAGAGCCCGCAGAGAAAGAGCTGCAGCGGATTTTAACAGCTACTTTGGTTACCAGCATGGATTCCCCCATCAAGAAGAGGCCTTTGGAGGGATGTATCCATTTACGTGTATTTTCTTGAGCCCTTTTGACATTAGAATCAGTGGTGAAACCTGGCAGAGCGCAATTGGGAGAGGAGGAAGGTCCAGGGAGCCGTTTATGCAATGGAGTTCATTCTGTCCCAGTGGGCACCCCACCTCTGTCTTTGCTGAAAACACAGCTGGGCCATATGGTGTCAGAACAGTGATAACCACTACTGAAGTGATCAACGGCAAGACCATCACCACCCGGAAAATCATTGAGGATGGGCAGGAGACAAAAGAAGTGGAAGAAGATGGCCAGCTGAAGTCTGTAATAATCAACGGGAGAGACTACCTGAATTCAATGCCTGAATTTCATCAATGAATTATCACCAGCACAAGCATTAACTTCAAGCTGTGGGATGTGCTCTCAAAGCTCAACTGATGAGGTCTACTACAAGCAGTATCAATAAATGCTGAGTTCATGACACAACCAATGCAGACTTCTCAATGGTTGGGAACAAAATATTTCACGGGTAAGGATATGGTTATGCTAAACTAAAGAGTGTGAATCCACAAAGCCTGAATGAGGTGATAGTGATTATTCAGTAAATATGTGTCACAGATACATGTGAGAGAACCTTGCTGGTTTGTCAAAGAGACCACGTTGATTAATACAGCAATAGGAGACAAGCTGTTTGTGGACATGTAGGAGAGCCCTATAACAAGCTGTAGGTTCCCTTCCCACCCCTTGAGATGCCAGTGTTAAAGTCAACCAGCTGAATGAATAAAGCCCAGTGTGATTCTCATACACAGCCCTGACACTAAGTAAAGAATACCCTTTTGGTGTATGAGAAGATGCATATCCATTGAAAAAAGTTTTCATGTATGGGCAAGAAGGTTGGCAGGGGTCAGTGGGACATGGAGAGCCTGGAGAATGGCATAGCAAAAAGCAAAGGAAGGAAGAAAAAGTCATTACTCCAACTGTAAAAGAAAATTTGGGCTTGAGAATGCCCTGCAAATTATGACCAGAGACCCTGATGGAAGTACTGCATAGCTCAGGGGCTGAAAGTGAGCAGGGAAAAGGTGAATTTGGCTCTCTGACTGGGACAATCTATATTCCCTCTCTGCCTGGAGTCATTCAAACACAAAGAGCTAAATTCAAACCATGAGCCAACAGATTCCAGGGGGCTGAGTTTAGCTCCCTCTCCGTGCAAAGCTGGATGTGAAGACTTAGATGGTGCTTTACCATCCTTATTGTCTTGCTCACAGCTGCAACAGCCAGTTCACAATGCATTTCTTGCACAGCCTGCCAGAACACTGCTCTTGTCCTCCACTGAGCTACGGAATGCTCTCCCCATGTTTCCGCCCTCCCCTGGGCTGACATGAACTGCTGAGCCTTGTTTCTTGCTTGGCCAGATCACCTTAAGCATTTAAAATCTCACACACCTCTTATTTTTGGTCCCACGCTACATTCCCTTGAGTTTCCCAGCTTTCCCTGCCCACTGATGTCTCCCTAGAGACTGGAAGTAGTTTTCAGGGACATTTTCACTCTAATCCAGATTGCAATTTCTGCCTGCGTTTGGGCAGGTCTTTGCATCTGTTTCCTCTGCTGTAAAATGGGAATAACAGACTCCTGTGCTTTGAAGGAGACTGTGAGATAGTGTTGCTAGTAAAAGACTCTGAGCATTAACCAATAAGTTAAATTAGCCAGAATGCTGCCACCCCTTATTCAAAGCCTTTTTCCCTTGTAAAGACAAATGTAGTTTAAATCACCATCCTTAGCAATTGATGCCACATCCAGCTTGGAAAAACAGACAAAAACTGTATTTGTTATGTTAAGGGCTGTTAAGCCTCTCTCTCATTGAGAAAAGGACAGCACTGGGCAGCAAGTGGAAGCTTAACTGGATGCTGGATGCATGGAAGGAGACCAGTGGCAATGGGAGCAGGGAAAGCCTCCATGCAGGGACAAACCGTGTCTGCTGCTCCTCCACAGTTTGGAAGCCAACAACATCCTGCAGGCATTGGGACTCTGAGAACTGCAAATATTTAGGGGGCTTGATACAGAAAGATTATTTTGGTCAGAGCAAACACAAGTCAACATTTCTACTGATACTGGGGTACCAGATGCACACCCTTGTGCTTAGCTGCTGATGGAAACCAGCCCATCATCCTTCCAGTCACTGCTGGACTTGATGGGCTCATTTCCAGCACCAGTTCCACTTGAAGATGTCATGCTTGGGGGCAGCTGGAAGTCTCCCTTCTGACTGGCCCCCGGCTACCTGTAGCACCAGGCAGAGCAGGGAGCGAGGGTGGCTCGTGCTCCATCGCCGAGTGGCCAGCAGCCTGAGCTGGGAGGCTGAGTCATTATTTTATTAGCAGGGCCCACAACTGCTTTAATGTGGGCTTAGGCTGCAAAAACAAAAACATACATAAAAGCATTTGGAATTACTTCATAAAATACTAAATCACGATATTAACCGACTGACCTTTGCTCTACACAGACCTGCTAATTTTAGCAATTACAGCCAACAACTTGAACATATCAAGTGGGCAACTGTTTAACAATAATGACATCTGCTTGGAAAATCAAATTATGTCTAAACATCTTTAAATCCCCACTAGGGGATACCTGCTTTTTTTTGCAACTATTAGTCCCTGTTTAATAGGATTTTAAACTCACAGCCGGCAGCACACTGTGGTGGCAGTGGCCCCTCTCCCTGGAGTGACAACAACAGGACAGACATCCCATTAAGCAGAGAGTGAGAGTCTCTCCTTGGACAGTGATGGAAGTGGTTTGGGTTTTGACAGCTTAATCTGATAGATGGGTGCATTAGCTGTATCCCTTTGCTCCCCCGTGCCCCTGCAGACATTGCTCCCCTCCACAGCCCCCTAAGGTTACATGTGCTGGACACATCCAGGGCTGATCTCCACTGGCTGTTGTTCGGGAAGGATGGAACCTTGCTACCGACATGGGCTTTGCAGCTTTCAGTGCTGTTTGTGGAGCAACTGACATGAGATTTCCTCCTGCAATGTCCTCAGACACAATCGAGTTTTATGTTTGGTGGAAAGTTTCTTTTCTCCCTTCACTTCTCCTGAATCCCAGCTATTTAAATCCTTCCCTGCTGTTCTCTGCTTTGTGGGTGAAACTCCAACACTGAGATCTGTTCTTCCCTATAATGGTCTAAAATATGGCTACAACAGCCTGCAGTTGCTGTTGTAGCCATATTCCAGGCCTGTAGGTTTTTCTTGCCAGGAAAAGTGACATTAGAAGCAAATGGGACCAGTGGGAAAGGGTGAGCACAAGACCAGCCAAATCTCCACTGAAGCACACCAATGCATACCAAGACCCTCCACCATAAAATTGGCATCCTTATTCAGCCCCCAACTAGGTTGCTGCCGTGCCCTGAGCTCTGCTGATCTGGGAGCAGTCTCAGCTCCATGGTCCCACTCCTGATCACTCAGCACCCTGGGCTGCAAGGCTGTTGTCAGATATTTGCATTGAGATACAAGAACAGAATGTTTCCGCCCCTTCTCCTCTCTCCCTCTCTCTCCCTCCCCGGCCAGTCTGGCACTTCTCTGATGGAGCGTGCAGCAAAATCACAATCACATGTTTGCAGCAGTAGGAGGCCATTGGCATGGAAGTGGCAGTGATGTCACTACAAACATTTCCACCCTATCCCATTTCTCCAGAACAGTCTCCGTTTTTATGACCCCATCCTGAGATCTGCAGGAAATCAAATTGTCCTGATGCTATTTTGAGCGCTGGTGTCATGGCATCAATATATAACGACGTGGTGTCAAGCCGGAGAGGCGGGAGCGCTGCGGCGCGGCGCTGCAGCCGGTTTGCTTTGTGCGGCTTACGGACTGGATCGCAGCCCTGCGGATCCCGCGCTTGCCGTGCTGGGACCCTCGGGATATGTGTGCTGAGCCAAGGGGGTGAGCTGAGCAGGGTAGGCCTGGCTTTTGTCCATCAGCAGCTCCTGCACCCCACTGGAGGTTACCAGACCCTGGGGCACCACACTACCGGGGGGCAGAGCAAGCACACGGGCATGTGGCATGAAGTTCCTACACCCTGGCACGCTGAATGCCAACCACCCTGGGGGCTGCACGCAAGGGAAGAGCATGATTACAAGACATTCATGAACGGCAAGGAGAGATTCGGGGAAAGACAGACATTGGCAAGGTGCCTAGAACAAGAAACCGAATGACAATCTGACCAAAATGGGGAGAAACAGCACCCGGAAGCTACAAATGCTCATCTGAACTAGGACTGCCATCTAAACAGAAGGAGCCGTGGGTTAGATACCCCTGTCTATCAAACTGAGATTTAAACAGTGGTTTAGATCCCAAAGTGCTCACAAACCTTCCTCTGATGCTTCCCACCAACACATGAACCCCTGCAGACTGGAGCTCTCCCTTGTGCCTGTGCCTCACAGGAAAGATTCAGGTCCTGCAATAACTCTTGCCAGTTAAGCTCCAGTGGCATCCCTACCTGATTCATCTCCTGCACCCAAATCTTATCTTCTCCTCAAAGAACATCAGATCTAACACATGGCATACACAAAACACTCCTGAGCTGAAATTTCAAACAGAAGAAACAACATCTGCAGCAAAATTTTATCTATTGGACAAAGCTTATCCTGGAAGAACTTAAGAACCCACAGAGTCCCCTGCAGCAGAGCAGGAAAAAGCACCAGTTTGACTAAAAATAAGCAGTGGGAGAGACGTGGTGGTGGCCCAGAGCTCCTAGTGAGTAAGAAAATATGAACTGCTTTTCAGAAAGTGTAGCGGGAGCTTCTCCGTCATTTCTTCTAATGTAAGGGACAGGACAATGCCATATCTTTAAAGTTTTTGCAGAAGGGTACAGGTTTGAATTCTGCATTAAGAGCAGCTCCTCTGGGAGAAACATTTTTATCAGGCTGTGTTATGAAAAGCTAGAGCCTCCTTGTGAAGGCAGAAGAGACCCTAGTGACAGAATATCAGTGTCTCAATGCGTGCCAAGTACTCATGTGTGCTTGCTCTCCACAGTACCAGAAAATACCAAGCTACAACCCCAGAGAGGAAGGGGTTGTAACCCGTGAGACTTTGTTTCTGATTTTGCTTTCAAGCACATGCTGTGATGGTTGGGGTGCCCTGTGCAGAGCCAGAAGCTGGACTCGATAAGCCTGGTGGGTCCCTTCCAACTCAGTGTATTCTGTGATTCTATGATAAAACTCCATTATCTCATCTGAACCTCACCAAGACCTTGCCTTTAGCCATAACTGCAAAACTCACTGCATCCACAGGAGTTAGTGCTGAGACCAGACAACTGCTTAGTAACCTCCAGTACGAGAAATGTTGGTAACTGGAGGTAGTGTCCAGCAGCCTTCCAGTCTGAGATAA